TCGCCAATTTCTTCAACTCAAACTCCAATCGGCTCGCGAAGCTCGTCCACAATATTCTAACCTTTGCTGCTTAGAAGTAGCACAAAAACTGACTTACCCCAATCATTTCCATTTTTGGGGCGGCGAATCCTCCAGACCTGGTGCAACTTGCTCCACCAACAGATTGAGAGACCATGTAGTCACAACTGTATGACGGTTGAAAATTGAGTGAAGGGAGTTGTCAAGCGGTTGGAGTGGGTCCAACGGTTGAGAATTAAATAGAGGGAGTTGTCAGACGATTGGAAAGAGTGGAAAGAATAATTCTAACCACTTCTTTAGTAGAGAGAGCAAATACTTGGTCTTAGGATTAAATCTAGTAAAACACATACCACACATGACAAGAACACATCCCTTCTAACAAATCTTTATCATTTTATTAGTTTATCCATAGATTTAGGAGATTATCCAATTATATTCTAAGTCATATTTTCTTTTGTTGATTTCTTTCTAATTTATGTTTCCAATGTACTTTTATCTAATTTTCAGTAGATTTATCTGTGTTGTAGTAGATTTTAGTTAACTCCATAAAAATTGGCCGTTTAGGCTCAAAGCCATGCAGGCTCCACTGAAGGAGCCGCTCCAATCCGACGATGGACAAGTTCTTTGGAACCTACCGGAATCCACACGACGGAATTGATGAACGGTTTTCGAGCCTCTGAATATTAGATTCCAAAATTTCTTTCTCTCTTTCTCTTATTTTTTGTTACTGCTTGTCGATTTTGGAAATTGATTTTCTAAGAAAGAATATACGTTAATGGAGTTTTACTTCGTACATAAATATTGGCAATAAGGCTTCCAAAATGCTTGTTATGTGTTGTTATTATTATTATTATTATCATTCTTTCTGCAATCAGAGACTCTACATAAATTGAATGGCTATTGCACTAACTCTGTATGTAAATTACATAAATTCTGAATACAAACAAAACTAAATGGATCTTTAAACATGAAAATTCTATTTTCTCGAAGGCTTCCTTGCAAAGCTATGCAACGTGACTATGTACTGTGCATGTTAATTTGTCGGGTTGTGAAGGCTGCTTAATTGCATGTATTGTTGAAAAGACACTACAAAAAATATATACATTAGCGAAGGATTTTTGTAAGGAATTTTATATCCCTCGCAAATATCGATGAATTTTGTTTTTACGAAGAAATTTTGTAAGGAAATTAATTAATTCGTAATTAACGAACATAATTTGCAAGGAATTCTATTAACGAAGAATTTTGCTAAAGATTTATATTCCCTCACAAAATTACAAATTAGTATTTTTATTAATAAATAATATTTTTTAAATTATTTTTAAAAAAATGATCAAAAGTAAAAAAAAAAAAAGTTCTTAATAAATTCTGGATTTTATTAAATTAATAACAAAATAATTATTATGAAAATTTATAAAATATAATATAATTTTTTATTAAAAAATACAAATATTTTTAAATAAAAAAATAAACATATTTTTATATAACAAATAAAATACTTTATTTTATTATATTAGTATTATTATTTTTTTAATATAAAAAACAAATAATAATATAAAATAATTTTAATTACAAAAATATTATTAAAATTATTGATACCAAACTTCTAACCTAGCCGCCACACCACAAGTCTTTCTTCTTCTTCGGTCTTTTTTCTTCTTTCTTCTTCTTCTCCTCTTTGTTTATGTTTTTGTTTTCATTTTCTCCAATCCATCTATTACGAAGAGTTAGAGTTTTGATTTGCAATTATTGGTTTTGTTATGTGTTCCTAAGATGTCCAGAGCTTCGAATTAATCCTACATATCAGAGTACTCGAAGATGAGCTCTAAATCCTATGGTAATTTATATATGATCTGTTTTTGGAGTTCTTATTCTGATATATATATATATATATATATGAGCTTCAAATTGCCTTTTCCATTAGAATTTTGTATAATTGCTATATGAACTTGGATGATTATGTAAATTCAGGTGAAGTTCATGCTAGATTAAACTCGAGGAATAAATTTGGACATTGAATTGCTTTCTTGTTGTCAGCGTACAGAAATGGGGCTTGTTATGTACAAAAATGGGGCTTTCATGTACGAGGTTGATTCAGGGAGCATTATAGCTGCAGGTTAGCTTCTTCATCTGCTCTACTTGTTTAACATTGACAAAGTTTTCAATCCGCATCAGTGATAATAATGTTGTGTTCTTTTGCTTACTTACGATATGTTGTATTCATGATGCTGGCACAACAAAATTAATTGCTGGCCTTGTTTATGCTTTTAAATAAAATGATTATTCAACTAGTTCATCCGTATATGTGCATTTGTGTCAAACCACATCAATTCGGCATTGAATTATCCTAGAGATTGATGCAACTAATGAATAAATACATAAATGAATAAATGACAAATCTGCCACAGGCCTGTTGTTATAATAAAGAGCTGTGAACTCGTTACTTCTTTCTGAGCTACTTGAGCAACTAAAAGGCTGGATGGAGACCACCACTGGAGTGCAGGCTATTCCAGTGATGCAGCTCTTCCATAGATTGTCATCAGCTGTTGGGGATCCCTTTGTTGATAGTGTAGAAGCTGAGAGCTTAAATTTGGAGAAGCTGATTAAGTGGTTTCTTGATGAGATGAAAATTAACCAACCATTTGTAGCCCGCACCCGCTCATATTTTGGGGAAGTTTCTATTCTTATCTTCATGTTTTTCACCATTATGCTTCGTAACTGGAACCAACCGGGCAGTGATGTTAGTTCATCAAAATCTTGTGGGACAACAGATACATCAGAGAAAATGACAATCCAGACTCACTCTTCCATGTCATTATCCAGTTCATCTATGTCGGATGGCCAAGAAAAGGGTGACTTTACCTCTTGTCTTCATAGAGCATGTGGCTATCTTAGGCAGCAAGTATTTGTTAATTATCTCATGGATATCCTGCAGCAGCTTGTGCATGTCTTCAAGACTCCTGTTACTGCTGATACTCATGGATTGACCCATGGTTCTGGCTGTGGTGCATTGTTGACCGTTAAGAGAGAGCTCCCTGCTGGTAACTTTTCACCATTTTTCTCAGATTCATACTCAAAATTGCACCGTTCAGATCTCTTTGCCGACTATCACAGACTGTTGTTGGAGAACACATTTCGTTTGGTATACTGTTTAATTCGCCCTGAAAAGCATGATAAAGGGGGGGAAAAAGATAAGACTTACAAGACTTCTTCTGGAAAAGATTTGAAACTCGATGGATATCAGGATGTTCTCTGCAGCTACATCAACAATTCAAATACGACGTTTGTTCGGAGATATGCTAGGAGGCTGTTTCTGCATATATGTGGGAGTAAGACACATTACTACAGTGTGAGGGACTCTTGGCAGTTCTCAAGTGAAATTAAGAAGCTCTACAAGCACATCAATAAGTCAGGTGGATTTCAATCTTCCATCTCTTATGAAAGGAGTGTGAAAATAGTCAAGTGTCTCTCAACCATTGCTGAAGTTTCTGCTGCAAGACCTAGAAACTGGCAGAAATATTGCTTGAGGCACAGTGATGTCTTGCCTTTCCTCATAAATGGACTTTTCACCTTCGGAGAAGAATGTGTTGTTCAAACACTGAAACTTTTAAAGTTGGCCTTCTACACAGGAAAGGATGCCAATCACACTTCACAGAAGGCTGAAAGTGGAGGAGATGGAGGTATAAGTTCAAATAAGTTGGGGCTTCAATCTGTTGAGTCTAAGAAAAAGAAGAAAGGTTAAGAAGGAAGTGAATCTACTGCAGAGAAATCTTACATGGATATGGAACAGGTGTTGCATGTCTTCACTGACCGTGGTGACGATTTTCTGAAGCAATTTATTGACACATTTTTGTTAGAATGGAATTCAAGCATTGTGCGTGCGGAAGCCAAATGTGTCGTACTTGGTGCTTGGCACCATGGCAAACAGCCATTCAAGAAGACACTGTTATCTGTGCTCTTGCAGAAGGTTAGGCATTTACCATTATATGGACAGAATGTCATTGAGTATACAGAGCTTATCACATGCTTGCTTGGAAAATGCAAGATAGCAGCTTAAAGCAGCAGAACATTGAAATCACAGACAAGTGTTTGACTTCTGATGTGATTAAATCCATTTTTGAGACACTCCACACACAAAACGAACTTCTGGCTAATCATCCTAACTCAAGTATTTACAACACCTTGAGCGGTTTGGTGGAATTTGATGGTTACTATCTCGAGAGTGAGCCCTGTGTTGCCTGCAGCTCACCTGAGGTTCCTTACAGTCGCATGAAGCTTGAAAGTCTGAAATCTGAAACAAAGTTCACTGATAATCGGATCATTGTGAAATGCACTGGTAGCTACACCATTCAGAGTGTGACCATGAATGTGCATGATGCTCGAAAATCAAAATCAGTGAAAGTGCTGAATCTTTATTATAACAACAGGCCTGTGGCGGATTTGTCATTTATTCATTTATGTATTTATTTGGGCTTGTTAATTAACTAGTACGTTGCATAGAACATAGAAGCCATGGATGACTCATGAGTTTGAGTTGATATATATTTTTTATTTTGCTTATTATGCCCCTTATTATCGATCAAAATCATATAATATAGGTGGAGCCAAAGACACGATTGCAATTGGTTCATTGAGTTTATTGTAAGCAAACAAAGAAAATCTGGCAACTGCAGTCCCAAAGGTATTTTCCTTGAATTTGTATTATATTCTCTAGTAGTTTCTTTTTTATTCTTTGATAACAATGAATACATTATGAATAAATTATGATTGAAGATTGTGTATGTTTTTAATATAAGTAATTATTCTTTATTATGAGCTTAATTTTTTCTTTATATATCCATTCTTGTTTATTAATGTTTTGAAAATCATTTTTAGAAATTTGTATTTTCTGCAGAATATAAATGCAACATGAGTACTACGCGGTCTTGGATGTACAATAGAATGCAAAATGGTATTCTGAATAGGGATTTTATTGTTGGGGTAGACAATTTTCTTAAGTACTGTATAACCAGTCCAGAGGTGTATAGGATTGTTGGTAACATAAGATGTCCATGTAAGCGTTGCAAGAATATCAGATTTCTTCCTTTCGATGATGTGAAATACCACTTGTACTCAAGAGGATTCATTCGTTTTTATGAAAGATGGACATGTCATGGTGAGGAGCATGACGGGAGTGGTAGCTCTAATCAATCAAACAGACAAGTACCAGAAAGTTTTGTTGAACCTGCAATGGGTGATTACACCCAAATGGTGATGAACGCTGGAGGTCCCGATGTTGAGGCACGTGTTGTGGAAGCTGAAGAACCGAACCCAGATGATAAGAAATTATATGACCTTCTCAGTGCGGCTGGCAAGGAGTTATGGGAGGGTTGCAAAAAGGCAACTTTATTATCCACTGTGGCGAGGATGCTAACTATCAAAGCAGATTTTAACTTGTCTGTGCGATGGTATGATGCACAGTGCCAGCTAATGCACAATATCATGCCAGAGGACAATTGTTTCGTGAAGAATTTTTATGAAACAAAAAAATTGATTGAAGGTTTGGGATTTCCGGCACAAAAGATTGACTGTTGTCAGTTGGGATGTATGTTATTCTGGAAAGAAGATGAGTGCTTAGAGTGTTGTAAGTTTTGTGAAAAACCACGTTATAAAGTAAAAAATGGGCGACGGAGGCCGATACGGTACATGTTTTACTTGCCCATCACACCAAGGTTGAAATGTCTATTTGTATCTACAAGGACGGCTTCGTATATGCGGTGGCATGCGGGTCATCATCATGAAAGTGGAAATGTGTTGTGCCACCCGAGTGATACAAATGCTTGGATGCATCTCGATGCACTATTTCCCTCTTTCGGAATGGAGGCAAGGAATGTACGTTTGGGTCTTTGCACCGATGGATTCCAACCATTTGGACAATCAGGAAGACAATATTCTTGTTGGTCCATAGTTGTGACACCGTACAACCTTCCCCCAAATATGTGCCTGAAAGATGAATATTTGTTTCTTTCTGTCGTAGTACCGGGTGGTGCAAATCCAAAACAAAAGATTGATGTATATTTGCAGCCACTTATCGAGGAGCTGAACATGCTATGGTGCACTGGAGTTGAAACATTTGATGCATCTCGTGGACAAAATTTTATCATGAAAGCTGCACTATTATGGACTATAGGTAAAAATATGCACATTTCTCTATAAGTAATTGTCCTCAAATTTTATATTAATAATAAAACTAATTTTTCTAGGTGATCTACCTGCCTATTCGATGATGTCTGGGTGGGGGACCTCTGGAAAGACTGCTTGCCCGATATGTCAGGAACAAACAGTGGCTTTCACTCTATTAAATGGTTGCAAGCAGTCGTGGTTTGATGCTCATCGTAAGTTTCTTCCCCAGAATCACCCGTACTGTTTTGATCAAAAGAAATTTAAAAAAGGAATTAGTGACTTCAATCCCCCGCCGCGTATGAAAACAGGAGTGGAACAACTCCAAGAGATAGATGGTTATGGGTTTTTGAAAGTAACAGAGTTAGATGCTACTGATGTGAATCAAAGGCTTGCCCGTGTGTGTGGATGGCGGAAAAGAAGTTTTTCCTGGGACTTACCTTATTGGAAGGATTTATAGGTACGACATAATCTGGATGTTATGCATATTGAGAAAAATGTATTCGAGAATATATTCAACACGGTAATGGATGTGAAGGGTAAGACAAAGGATAATGCAAAGGCACGGGCAGACATAACAGAACTTTGTGATAGAAAAGAACTTGAATATGACATTGTCAGTCAATACTACCCTCCAGCTACGTATACATTGGATAAACCTCGTAGGAAAGAATTCCTTACGTGGGTTGAAAAGTTGAAGATGCCTGATGGATACATGTCCAACCTCGGCCGATGTGTGGACATGACGAAATATCGATTGTTTGGAATGAAGAGCCATGATTTTCATGTCTTCATGCAAAGGCTCATTCCAATTGGGTTTCGAGAGCTATTGCCTAAGAATATTTGGGAGCCACTAACCGAGTTAAGCAACTTCTTTCGTCGGCTTACGTCAAAAGTTGTTACTGTTAGTGATATGGAGATGTTAGAGTCTGTAATACCCGTGATCCTTTGCAAATTGGAGACAATATTTGTTCTAGGTTTCTTTAATAGTATGGAACATCTTCCCGTCCATCTACCACACGAGGTAAAAATTGCTGGGCCTGTTCAAATTTCATTGGATGTATCCTTTCGAGAGGTACATAGAATCAATCTGAAATGTTCTTTCATGTCACCTTTAGTGTATACTTAAACCCGTTTGCATAACCTACATGACAATGTTGTTTTCTTTTCATAGGTTTTTGAATTGTCTCAAAAGGATGGTTAAAAATAAGGCCCATGTTGAAGGGTCAATTGTAAATGCATATCTCGTAAGGGAGGCTAGTTTCTTTTGCTCGCACTATTTTGAAAAACACGTCTATACGCGTGCGAGGAATGTTCCTAGACAAGATGACGGTGGTGCACCTATTTATGGAAATAGTGATACATTGCCTGTGTTCAACCATCCAGCCCGATTGCAAGGCAAACCCAAGAAACGGTTTCTAACTCCTAGAGAAGGGAATGCAATTCAGACATACTTTCTCCTGAATGTCCTCGAAATAGATCCGTTCATATCGTAAGCTTTTTGGGTTTCCTGATTACAATTTTTGTCTATATGTTATTATGTATTAGTGAAACTTGATGTTTTTACTGTAGGATCTTTGACAATGAATTGAGGCAATCGAATCCACGTATTTCAGAGGTCGAGGTTGCTTCGCAGCTTCAAAAGAACTTTATAACATGGTTCTACGAATATGTATGTATTTGGTGTTGACATACAACAACTTTACTGCTCCAGTAATATGGTATAATTATCTACTTCTCTATGTTAGGCGGAGAACCAACATGCTTTGGATAAAATTTTTCAAGATATTGCGCACGGCCCGTTGGTGGAGGTTATCACATATCCAATTTTTTTTATCAACGGTTACCGTTTCCACACGGAGACACATGGATCAAGCAGGTCAACTTATAACTGCGGGGTTTGCGTAGATGCTGGAGGGTTAGAGTATTTTGGAAATATTCAAGAAATTATGGAGGTTGAGTTTCATGCACTACCCATAAAACGATGCATCTTCTTTCGTTGTGATTGGTTCGATCCAACTAGTGGTGTCGGAACAAAGAAGCATGAAAATTACAACTTGGTTGAGGTAAACAAACGGAAAACATTATGCACTTATGAACCTTTTATACTTGGGCTGCAAGCTATGCAAGTCAGCTATATTTCATTCCCAAATTTGAGAAAGGACAAAGATGATTGGTTGGCTGTTTGTCGGGTGAAACCTCGAGGTTGGATTGAATTGGTAGACGGAGAAGTGTTCACTCAACCAGAAACTGAGACGTACCAAGATCCAGTTGTTGAAGCATGCATGATTGAATCTGTCAGAATCGGGGAATCTATAAATTTGGTATCAACAGGTGGCGTAGTTGGTAATACCCTTGCAAATGTCTGATGACTCTGATACAGAGGAAGAAGTCTTTCTTGAGACATATAGTTCTGATGACAATCAATTTTACTCCTTGAGTTCGGATGATGATGTGCCTTATGACTAGGTTATAACTTTATAAGATTTAATCTTATTTATATTTTCTCATAATTCCGAACTATATTTAAGATTTTTGATAATGTACTTTCAATTGTAGATGTCGCAAGGATCCAATAAAGAACAACGAAGCCAGAACATCCGCCGTCTGGCAAGGTCACAAATGTTGTTGTGGCAGGCGAAAATGCAAGAGGAGCAACATGAGCCGAGTTTTTCTGAGAGCCAAGTAGGAGAAGGGTCAGGTAAGAAAGATATAAAAATTTCAATATCTTTAAAGTTGTGCAAATTTAAATAAAATTCATAACTATTCATTATGCATGTACGTCTGCAGATGCTACATCGGCCGAGAATACACATGCTACCACATCACGTAAGTAAATTTTATGAGAATGCTATAGTTAATTTTTTTTAGATTACATAAAGCTCTTATTCGAACAGATGTTGGAGATTCTCAAGCGGATATTGTTGTTGGAGACGACCCACGTGTCGAAGTGAGAGTCGAGTCTGGTGGGAGGTATGTTTTTGTCTAAGATCTTTTTGCTAGCATTCAACTTGGTATTGTAGTATTAATTTAAAATGTATAAAACTTACAGCATCTTCTGGCCACGTGATGCTTCGATTAAGTTCCGAGATGTTTTCAAATCAAAATTAGTGAAGGAAGGAAGCAAGTGGCTCTCCGTACCAGAAGATACACGCCGGTGGTATAAGATGAAGGTATGTCAACTAATTATGTGAATTCTTAACATACTAATTTAGATTCACTTCCATTTATTCTAACATTTTTGTATTGTGTACTCTAATCAATGCAGAAGTACATCAAGTGGGATCCGGCTCATGAGGAAAAAGTCTTAAAGAAACTTAATACTAGCGTACAAGAGGCTTATAACAAATGGATGAGTGATATTCGAGGTGGGCGGGATAAAACCGCACACAAGATTATTCCCACTGCGGTGCTCGGTGCATGGAAAAGGGCTTGGAGCTCCAATGATGCACAAAAAAGGTCAAAGACTGCCAAGACTAATAGACGTCGGGGCAATTTAGCAAATAATCTAGAGTCGACGCATACCGGGGGATCACGCTCGTTCATGGAGACGGCAAAAAAGTTGGTTAGTAGTAATTTTACTTATATATAATTGTGTATTCTTTTGGTTTGATATTCGATATACAATGCAGAATCTTGAGAAATGGGGAACGTATGAGTGGGCTCACACGAGGAAGCAGGATAAAAAATCATGGTGCAACATGAAGGCTACCCAAGTAGCGGTATGAAAATCATATGTTTTAAAGCACTATTTAAAGTATTGCATATAATTCATGAATATATTTGTATTTTTAGGATGGAATGAAACATATTGAAGAGGGGATGTCCTAACTTGGGGACAATGACTATAGCAAGGACGAGGCGTTTCTAAGCTTAGTCCCCCGTGATAAGAAAAAACGTATATTTGGGTTGGGATCGTTGGCATCAACGGTTCCTACTGAGCAATCATTGTTTAACAGTGACGGCCGCACCCCTACAGTTGAACCTACAGATATGGAACGCATAATGAGAATAGAACACGAGCAGCAGATTATGAAGGAACAAAATATGACCATCATGGAACAGTTACGGAAGATTCAGGCTCACTTAGACCGTCGTAATCCGGACGGCGATACCGGTGCTCCCCCGATCGCGTGATGTATGTTTGCTTTATATTTCGTTTACTTTTGGTGTTTTCTGAATTGATGGACTGTTTCCTTCATATTTCGTTTACTTTTGGTGTTTTCTGAATTGATGGAATGTTTGCTTCATATTTCGTTTACTTTTGGTATTTTCTGAATTGATGGAATGTTTCCTTCATATTTCGTTTACTTTTTGGTATTTTATGAATTGATGGAATGTTTGCTTTATTTTATGTTATCATATGGCATTGGAGATGGAGTTTATTTTGTTTACATGGTGCTTACTATTTGGATGGTTAAAATGATTTCTTATAATGTTATTTTGTACTTGTTTGAGACAAGTATACGAATTTAAAATAAATATATTGTTAGTTTGTAATTATTTTGAAAGTATAGGAATTTGAAATGAACTAGTGATGATAATATGTAAAATGATTTGCGATGGATATTTGCGAAGAAATGAATTTCCTCGCAAATTTTGAATCAATTTGCGATGGATATTTGCGAAGGAATGAACTCCATTGCAAATTTTGAATCAATTTGTGAAGGAAAACTATATCTTCGCAAAATTCCTTCGCAAATATTTGCGAAGGAATTGATGCTTCGCTAAATTTCCTCACAAACATTTGCGAGGGAATTTTTCTTCGGATCCAAAGTAGCGAGCAAGTGTATAGCGATGACGTGTATTCCTTCGCAACTTCCCTCGCTAACATGTTTTGCAAAGGAAATAATTTGATTTGCGAGGGAATTTTTCCCTCGCAAATCAAGAGTTTTTTTGTAGTGAGAATGGCATGTGTGAAATTTTTTTGTTGTTTACAATTTTGTAACTAAGATTTATGTGATATGGTGTTGCTACTCTTGAATTTTAGAGCACTGAAAAATAAACTATTGTTAGCCATTCAGAAAACTGAACCATCGTAGTTCCTTTGTTATGGTGAAGAAACTAGAAAATTAGTTAATTATATATATATATATATTGATGGGTCCACTAGATGTATTTCTACACCTTAAACTCCAATCCTGATCACTCTTGAACAATGTAGCGGAATGGATTGCAAACTCAAAAGGTTTGCTATGTTCAGAGTGACGTTGTCTGCTTGAGATTCAAACAACGAACAAGCAACAAGAAGTGCAGTGCAGAGTAAATCGAAACAAACAGCACACCGAAGTTTGTTGACCAGTTTGACCCTCAACCGGCCTACATCTCGGGGGTACCAACCCAGAACAATTCCACTATGAGTAAGGCAGGAACAAGATAGAAAAACTCCTCACACAAACTCCACAAATCAACAGCCACAAATCCAACTCAAATGTATTGGTTTTCCTACAACGAACAAGTGCATCTTTCCTTCGCAAAGGCAAGCATGCAAGGCCTCGACCTCTATTGGTTGTGCTCAGAAATGGGACGTTGTTGTAGGCAGCTTCTCACCTCCTTCTCCTTCGACTCTTTTTGGAATCCCATTTGAACCAAACAAACACTCGGCGGTTTATCGACACAGCACACTGCTATGATTTCTTCAGGATGTGATTTTGGCTTCAAATCTCAAGCAACTTCGACATGGTTCAGACCCAATGTAATAGATAAAAATCCTCCCAGATTTTTCTACTCAAAACATGGTCTAACCTCCCACAAAAATACCTCAAAATAAAAGAAAACACTCCCCCTCAACTAGAAGTGAAACTCAACTATTACACCATAGGATTTGGGCTTTCCTTTCAGTGAAGATGAATAAAACTCTTCAAGTTCTCACTCGCTACTCAGAACGTGAAAGATATTACATTTTCTCTCTTAGAAAATTATGAAAGCTCCCTTTTTACAATTCCATGGGTAGTGTATATATATACATACACAAACCCACTTCTTTCAATTAGCATTCGATAACAAATTGACTCAAAATGGTCAAATATGTCAAGACACATCTCATGACACATATCTATGCAAATGGGACAAAATTGATATGTCAAACTCCACATAAATGCCTAGAAGAAAAAGATAGTCAAATATTACCTCTTTTGGTTATAGGTGTTGGAAATTTTTTTCTTCCTGTATTTTTTACCTTCCTTTTGCATACAAATTCGTGGAACAAAGCCCTTTTGTCTTTATATGAATTAGGACAGTGAGATATATATTTTGTCTCACATTGAAGCTTTTTCAATGCCTCGAACATCAGACCTTGAACCATGAACTCGAGCAGGTTGCAGTCTTGCAGATAGCTAAATGGATGTCTCATCTTTCTACATATACAAAACGGAGTGAGTTTCCCTTCCTTTTTCTTCATCTCTTTTTGACTTTCCATTTTGATACAAGCACGAGGGACAAGGTATTTTATCTTTGATTACAGTAAATCATTGAGATAAAAAAATTATCTAATGTTGGAGCTTTTCAAAGACTAATATATCAGGCCTTGAACCGAGCATCAAGAGCAGATTTGAAGACATGCAGACATCAGCTTGGTGGTCTGATATGTCTGATATGTCCCTTCCTCTTTCTTCATCTATTTTTTTTTTACTTTCCAAATCAATGCTTGCAAATTTTTCCTTGTGCCATTTATCAATAAAACAAACAGGATTTCAATTGTTTTTTTATCTCTTAAAAGCACTTTTTCAAACTCAAAAAATATGTGGAAAAATATTCCACATCAGCAGCCAACGTGGACAATTTAGCAGCCATACATGCACCAATTGGTTGTTTGAACATTCTGCAGATCTTCGATACATCAAATAAAATTTCATACGAACATATATATTAGTTACTGGATAAAATAGCGGGAATCAAGATATTTCTGAATATTAACTAATTAGTTCCAATTCGACGTTAAATAATTAGTTGCTCAACTCATAATAGATATCCATCCAGACTTTAATTAGGCATATCATATTATATCATATCATATACTACACACATATATGTTTGTGTGTGGATAAATTAAGACTTTTGTTCTTTATATGTATATATATATTGGTGTGGTATATTCTTGGTTGTAGTTTGGATATGAGATTCCATCCCTTTTAATAACATCTACATAGCAGTCATTTAACGAGATTGTTTCCTTGTTTATTTCTTTGCTTCTTACTCTTGTGTTGAATGGAATCATCGTAAAATTCTCCTTAACATTGTTCACTACAAAAAAATATCAATTTTATAACAAAATTTTTTCGTTGTTAAATCCACTTTTTCCATTACTAATGATATTAGAGACGGAATTAAAGATGGAATTACGTTAGCTACGTGAACTTTAGGAACGGAATTCCATTACGAATATACTATTTTTTTGTAGTGGTTACCTTCATAGTAGGCTTCTCTACTTTCTTTTGTTCCATCGCAGTTGCTAAAGATAACAGAAACCTCAAAAATTACTGCTAGTGATCGGTCACCATCATCAGTTCGGTATTTCGCATTTTACTAGCCTTTTATTTATATTATCATTTTTGGGATGATTTAGTTTTTATTTTGAATTCTCTGGTCCTTTTATGCTTGTGATCAGTTTCACCAAAATTTTCATGTTGGAAGTCCATCCATAGAGGAGAAACCTTGTTATCTAATTTTGGCTTCTGCTTTGGAAACATAACAGGGGACACCAGAACAGGTAAAAATTTTCTTTAATAAGTTATAATTTTAAACTGAATAAATGGCGATCCTTATTTCAGGAAATTCATGGCTTTAATATTAATATTTTGTTAGTAGTGATTGTGTTTTAAAATGGATCAAATACCAATTTTATGGTGAATGAAAGGGGCTCGTGAGGTACTAAATACGTATAAAGTAAAAGTTTTGTGGGGTTTCCAATTACATCAAGTCTGAATCTGGATATTATCCTATTATTTGTTTTATTATATTTTTACTTAGTATTTTACTGGTGAACTTATAGAAATTATTTGTGATGATGAGGTCAGTGTACTTTACTTTGATTATCATGAATTGTTTAGCAAGTTGTTGTAATGTTGTTTTTCTTTTTTTGCATTTAAGTTGTTGTATATCAGTTTTATGAACCTGATATGGAAATAATTACATTTCCAGCGTATGAAGCAACAATTTCATACAATATATGATATGTACGTTTTTTAGGATATTGACTCTTTAATGGTTCAATATTGACTTTAGGATACCTATTGCTAGTGTTACCATGATGTAATTTTCTTAGAAGTCTTTGAACCCAATGTAGCATTGTTTTTCTCTGACTTGAAATCTTAATTATAAAAATGTGAATTACATGTTGCCTCACTGTTTGAAGTTTCTATAAATGACCTCCTGGCTTGTTTCTTTTACAGTGGTTGTCTGTAGGGTTTGTACTAATCAACATATTTCAAGTTCACGAACCATATTACGTTAATTGATTTGGAATTGCGTGTAAATGACATGTTCCGCTTTTGATGATTAGACTATGTAGCATGTATTGATCATATCTATATTTTGGGATGTAGGCAAACATTTTGAGAAGTTTCGTGAGCTCTATAGTTATCTCTAGAAATGCAGATAGTTTTAATTTGCTTTCTTTGGCTTCCTCAGTCTTATTTGTCCCTTATTCTTATGGTGTAAGAATCTTGTGGTTATCTACAGGTGTGGTTTGCCTTTGATGAGGTTGAACCTGGAATTATTGTTGTGAAGTTGACGCACAAAGACATGCTTGAGGAAGATAGGTTAGTCGTGTGAGTCGCTCTTCTATTGTTGTTTTTGCCTGCTTGTTTATTTCACTACCAAAAAAACCATTTTCTGCTACGGCCGGAAATTTGTAACAAAAAACCAATTTTTGTGCAATTTGCGTTTGCTACGCCTTAGTGACGACGTTTATCTGTAACGTGTACTCACGTAACGAATGTTTTTTGCCACGCACATTTTCGTAACTACTACTCTTGGTCAACGATCCTTATGGAAAGCTTTTTGTTGTGATATTTGTTACAAATTTTTTTTCGTAATAAAAATTCATGCTTTCCATGCATGTGCCAGGTCTTTTAGTCACGATATTTGTTACAACAATGCCTCGCGTTACCAAAAAATGTTACTCTGATCCCTTGTCAGAGTATGCTTTTTGTTACGATTTTTTGTTACGTCATTGAAGCCGTAATTAACAATATATTCTCTTATGGTCACAAAACCGGCCGTAACAAAAATATCCCATCATATTTGTTATGTCAAAAAACCACTTTTCGTTACATCATTTCATTTTTTTGTTACATGATTTATTTTTTTGTTACGTTATTGAACCCTTAACAAAAATATTCAT